TCAGACTGTGAGACCATGGGCACTGAGACTCAGTTTACTTATGAAAACTTGAATCATTGATCTAGATTTTTACTCTTATCTATTACCGAAAGCATTTTAATCCACGTTGTTATTTAAGTACCTGTAATATGCATAGGTGATACCTCTGGATCAGGAATTAGAAAATTTTTTCCCAAGAACCACCTTTGGTGACTTAGGGTAAATAACTATTCAGGGAAGAAGAAGAGCAAAAAGGGGAAAGAGTGAAAAAAGACAGAGTCAAAGGCCTAATTAAGCCAGTAAAATAGTTCAAGAGCGTTTCTTTACTGACACATTTTCAGTTTGTAAACTTCTATATTGAAAGGAACAAAAGCTACCTACCAGAGTAAAGGTGGCTCTATCCTAACATGGCTTAACGAAAATGGACAGTCATTTCACTTTTAGTTTATTGCAACATTAAAGCACAGTAGCAGTGTGGAAGTGCTAGTAAGAAAAGGTACATGATTGTAGTGGAAAAGAAAGTGAAACTTAACTTTACATAGATGTGTTCACATTGGTAGTGTTACAAAATCCATTCGAACAAATGGATTTTGGAATAGTTTTTGAATTTAACCTTTTACAGAGAAACTTTTGTATTAGGATAATGGTTTCCCCGTTATCAACAGCACTATAGTCATTGTTTATATGGGATATATGTAGAAATAGCTTAAGTATCTAATAATAGATTTTTAAAACAGTATCTATCATTAATATAATTCTATTTATTATTACTATGGGCATACAGGTTTGGTAGGTACAGAAGAAATTTTAGACAATGGCTACTTTCCCAGAGAGTCAAGGGAGGTTTTGCTTTAATTATCTTGGTACCTGGCACATTGCTTTGCAAATAATAGGCACTCAAACATTTATTTAGTTCAATTAGGGGAACATAATTTTCAAATGTGAGACAATATACAATTAATGCTAACTTTGTAGGATGGGAAGTAAGTGCTATATTTTTGAAGGTTCATATCAGTCAAGACATAGAGGTTAGGAAGCTTTGTGAAAGAAATGGTATTTCAGTTGAGCATTGAAGAGTGGAAAAGATGCGAACTGGCGCTGAGAAATGGGAGAGGTATTCCTGGAATGGGAATAACAGAAGTTGAGAAGGGAGGCAGGAAATACTGTAGTTTGTGTGGAGGACCATAGGGAGCCTAGGATGGTAATTTAAAGGAAAAGATTATAAGTAATGTTTGTCCAAGGTCAAATGTATATCTTATGTGTATATGCCTGTCTGTGATCAATTTAAGTCAGAGTACTTTTCCCCCCCTTTTAGATAGAGTGCATTGTTCAAAAACTACTTGAATATGCTAAAAATACCCAATGTTGGAGTTAACTTGTAAAGGGGTGGGGTGGGTGAATGTGGGAAACTGCTGGGTTTAGTTTAGAATTTAGTTCAGAATTTAGAATTTAGTTTAAATTTAGTTCAGTCAGTAGAAATGTCACCTGAATTGAATTATTAGCCCTTATTTTATTTTGATATATAGTTAAGGACATCATAGTCACCCATGATGACCCCTAGAGTCCAGAATATATAGGAAATTTGCTTTACTGAAATTAGGAAACCGAGTATATGATTTGGCTAGCACATGCTAGCTGTATTTAAGTTTTCAGGGAAACTCGTTCAGCAGCTCAACTTTATTCCCGAACTTACCTCTTTAAAATTAATTGTAAATGCTGTTTCAAAGAACTGGATGTTATTTAATGTGATATATTTTTATATCTTTGTCTTTTCATTTTCATTTATGGTCATAACCATATGATGTAATATTTAATAAAATTAAGATAAACTTTTAAATTAAAATTTTCCTTTTACTTTTGTAAGTAGTGGTAATTTTTAAAAAAATAGACAAACATCTTTGGAAGGTAATTTTTAAGCATTTCTCCCTCCGCTCTGAAATTGTTTTCTCTCTTAAGTTGCGCTTCTGTTTTTTTACTATTGTAAAGTGCAGTTCTTTGCATGTTCTAATTTGCCATGACGTGGTCAAGTGCTGTTTCCTTCCTGTTGCTTGCAAGCCTGTGCTAGAGATAAGGATACATTTCAGTGCATTAAAAAAAGAAGCCACTGAAGACAGGCTTAAGCATGGTAAAGCATTCTACTTATCAGAAACCTTTTTAAAGAACAGAGCAGGCTTTAATTTCTGCTTAGTTTTAAAAGCTCTTAAAATAGTACTTATTAAACTTTAAATGTATTAGACAGACTTTTAAATCCTTACGTATTAGGCCTAATCGAGATCCTGTGTGAATGTTTCTATTAGGGCAAAAATACACGTTATGAAATTACTCATGGAGTAGCATTTCCTATGTATGTGGTTTGCTGGGTTAGTGGAAAGAAGAAAATTGTTTAAATGTCCTTTATTGTAATTACAGACCTAGTTGTTGCTGGGTGGATGTATGTATGTTTTTAAATTTTTGGTACTTTAATAGTTTAACTGGGGGGAGGGGAGAATGGCTTCATTTTCAGTAATGAGAGGTGATTTTATCTTAGCAGGAATGAAATCTTCAAAGAAAATATGTGCCTAACTTAAAAAAAGTCTGTGTTCATTAGTCATGTTCATTTTGTTTGATTTAGTCATGTTGATTAGTCATGTTAATGTAAAAACATTAACAAAAATACTTTGGAGACACTGCCCTTGGATATCAATTGTTATATTCTAAGTGGGTATGATTTTGTAACTAACTTAAGCTTTTGTTTTTCAGGCGAAGAAGTTCCGGAGAAGAAAAATTTCAGAAAAATTGTCTCAGTTTGAATAGAGTATCAGAACATTTGAAGCACTTTTCTAAAGAAACCAAGAAAATTTGAAGCACCTTCCCTAAAGAAAACCTGTGTATACAGTAACTTCACGGACTTAGCTGGCTGGTTTTTTTTGTTGTTGTTTTTTTGTTGTTTTTTTACCCAAATTGTCACTGGATTCTGCTGCCTGATACTTGAACCTGTTTGGATTTTTCTCATGTGGATCTAAGGGGAATGCTTTATTATGGCTGCTGTTGTCCAACAGAACGACTTAGTATTTGAGTTTGCTAGTAACGTCATGGAGGATGAACAACAGGTATGACACCCAGAGAAAAAATTGGATTTTAATAAATTTATTATTGTGATTTCTCCATTTGTATCAGAAATTACTTACTTTAAAAGATGGTAGGAGAAACTTTATTCATGTAAAAATTTAGACATTAAAAATATGGAGGTAGTTGTGATGTTATGTTTTAAGTACTAGTTAATTCTTTACAGAATCTTACTTTTAGCTATGATGTGGTAACAAGGAAGTAATACTTTTGGAGTTAAGCTTGTTTTCTGTAAAATAAGATTTAAATACCTTAAGTAATTATCTGAAAAGTTCTAGAAGCCATACTAACAAAACATGTAAAATTTTTAATAGTATATGACGGGTTGTAATAGTTGCTTGCAGTTATACAGTTTTAATGTATGTGGTTAATTAATATTTATAACCCTAGGCTATTTTTTCAAGCTGATAAAAATATGTTAGCAGTCCTATAATCATATATCATTTCAGTCCAAAGCATATGTGTCTGAGGAAGTTACTTTATTTCTCTAGATCTGGATTTCATCATCGTTTGAGTGAGGGGATTGAACTGAAGAATTTCTAAATTGGTTCTTACTGAATTTATACAAGATATGCAAATTACTGTTTCTAGAATGTAAAAAGGATCTAGGAGATATTAAAAAAGGATCTAAGTTAATTCTGGCCTTTCTTTTTTGGGCGCAGCAGTGGGCTAGGGGTTCTTGGGACTTTATAATTTATTTAATTTTAAACAGGCTATATGGGCCGCGATGTGGGCGAAATGGTATAAGTGTACTGGGAAAAATATTTGGGGGACTGGCAGGTGTAAAATGCCTAATAAATTTGATTTATATACTGAAATAAGCCTAATTTCAAATACCTAACTTTAATAGATCAATTATAATATGTCAAGCTTGTATTCTAGATGAAGTTACTATTGATAATAGAATCAATTCTTACTTTTGACAGGGCATTATACTTTCTTAGCTGTTTGTATTGTCTATTGAAATTACAGAATTCTAAAAAATTATAAATAAAACTACAAAAGATCAGAATTTGGATTAAGGTGCCTTAAAATTAAGATGAGCTTTGGGTAGAGAGGCAAAAAGTTTGAGGGAGAGGATTGCTTGGTCCCAATTAAAAATAAATTAATACTTACATGGATTTAATCTAGAGATAATAGAAAAGATATTTTAGGAGGAGAAAGTGTTTTGAATTTGCTTTAAAGCAGACATTTTTGTATATCTTAAGATTTAAAAACAGTGTGTTTACTGTGTAACCCTTTTAGATGAATGATCCCTCGCTTGCTGTGGTGAGGTTTGTTTTCGGGATGTGGCTGCAGAGGACAAAGCTCTAAGCCACTAACTGGTGTGCTCCAGTGCAGTAGCTTTGACACATTTTGACCATAAGAAATATATTTTTTACATTATGGTGCAGTATTCATACATGTGTCTATATAGCCTTTAAAAAGTTTTGTAAAATAATACTTCCCCTTATTATGTATGGTACACTTAGTTTATCTTGGAGAGGTTACTAATGTTTTTGGATAGGGAGATAGTGCTTTTAGCTTAACATCAGAATGCACATGCGTATATTTTCTTAAGTTATTTATTTTTATCTAACAAAAGGAATACATATTAGTTTTGTGCAAGTATTATTATAAGGACTTTACAAATATTTAAACATATAAGGCAAGTGTTATTATCTGTATATTATAATGAGGAAATTGAGACATGGAGAGAGGTTAAGTTGCTTGCCTAAAACCATACCATACAGCTGGTAAATAGTGGAGCTGCATTTGAACCCAAGCAGTTTGACTCTCACTAAGGATGTTGAACACTTTTGCAATGATATATGCCAATCTTATTGTATTATAATTAGTGTCAACAATGTTTGGAATACAGTGGTACCTTGGTTTTCGAATGTAATCTGTTCCAGAAGACCGAGTTCTGAAACGTTCGAAAACTGAGTGATCAACAGCCGACAGCTAGGTCTCAGGGTCTTGCACTCAGTGGAAGCTGTATGGCATGGTCAACTTCTGAGGCGTGTTTGAAAACCAAAGCATTTACTTCCAGGTTTACGGCGTTTGTAAACCGAGGTAGCACTGTAATTGGCCAGGTTTAGAGTTCAATCTTTGGTACAGCAAACTTAACTGATTCACATGGGGGTAGATCCAGTAGTGTCAGTTTGTTTGCTTGTTAAATTTGTTTTTAATTTAAAAAATAATACCATGTCAATTATAAAAGAAGTTACCTAATATGAAAATATGTAAAATAAATAGTGCAAGTCTCTCTTCCTCCTCACTCCTTAATTCTATTCTTCCCCCAAAGATACCAATATTGACTATTTGATGTTTAGTTTTTGTAGACAAAGGCCTAAACAAAAGAATACTATATGTACGTACAAACCTATATCCAGAGGTTGTTTTTAAGATACAAATGAAAGTATGCCAAACTGTTTTTGTGACTTGTTGGTNTATATCCAGAGGTTGTTTTTAAGATACAAATGAAAGTATGCCAAACTGTTTTTGTGACTTGTTTGTTTACACTTAATGTATCATTTATTTTTTTCACATGATGGATGGATCATTTTCTACTTTACTGCTCTCTGATCGTGGACAATTGGCTATTAACAGCATTTCGCTATTATAAACAGTATTGAAATAAACATCCTAGTTTGGGTGTGGTTAAGAGCTCAGATATTGGAGTCAGAACACCTGAGTTTGAATCCTTATGCCACCTCTGTGACCTTAAACAAGTCCCTTAACCTCTCTGTGCCTTGGTTTCCTTATCTACAAAATGAGAATGATAATAGACCTAGTATTATAGGATTGTTATGAGCATTAAATGAATTGATGTATATAAAGCTCTTAGAACCATGTTTGGCACATAGCTGATATTTACCGAGCACTATCATTTTGTTATTGCATCTTTCTTTGTGTGTGTATAATTATATAATAGTATAATATTGTTGCACATTTGTGTGATTACTTCTATAAGATTTCTAAAAGTAGATTTACTAAAAGCATAAACATACTATCAAATCATTCTTCAAAAAGGCTGTATCAGTTTCTGCTACCACCAATAGTATATTTCCTAAACCATTGCTAACAGAAATCTTATTTTTTCTTTTTGGTCAGTCTTTTTTGGTGAAATTACATTTTACTATTTTAATTTGCTCTTTCCTTTACTAGCAGTGAGGCTGTTGAATTGTTAATTATTGCTATTTTTCATTTAAGTTTCCTTCAAATTACTTACTAATATCCTTTTGCCCAGTAGTTCTTTATATATTACGGGTATTACATTAATATCATTGTCTTCTAACTAATTCACTGTACAGTTAATGATTAACTCTCTTTTTGTGACACAAGGCTGATATTTTGTCCCTGCCATCTTTTAACAGTATAATATCTTTTGCCCTATAGAAATTTTAAATATTTATGTTGTAAAATTTACCATTTTTTGGTGTCTACTAAGCTTTCTTCACCCCTAAAATTATTAAATGTTCTCTTTATATTTTCTTCTAGTATGTTTTACATATGTTTTGTTCTTCTGTTCAGATGAAATCTACTTCTATAGAATGAGGTATAGGAATCTGACGATTCTCTTCTCCCACAAATGAGAATGCTGGCCCTTCACCACTTATTGAATGTTTTGTGATTTTCACACTAAGACTGCCACCTTTGTTATATACTAAATTACCATATGTTCATAATTTAGTTTTGAACTTGCTAGTGTATTCTGTTTCATTTAACTGTTTTTTATTGTGCCAATAAATATCATAAGTATCACATTGCTTTCATAAGTATCACTTAATAAATTTGACATTTCGTAAGATTTCCCCCACCAAAAAAAAATTGGGGGGTAGAGTTTTGAATGAATTTTCGAATCAGCTTGTTAAATTACATAAAACCTCTGTTGAAATTTTAACTATTCAAAGTTTAAAATTATTTCTGTCTTTTAAAATAATTAATTCTTTTTTATAGTCCTATATTGGTTTGATTAGTTGGTTCTTTATAAAATCAGTTTGAAGGCTCCAGATTAGAATATATTTCCTGTTTTCAGCTGTGGCCTGCGATTATAACTGTAGTTGTCTAAAGAAACTGACACCATTAATGTCTGGTTGCCACCACCTTAATCATTTTCCCTTATATCAATTCATACTCTTCTGAAAATTGCTTGGAAAAACTCCTTTGGGCAGGGATTGTAGGTGGGTGTTTGAAAAGGAAATATCAACATTGTTGGTGTTGACAAGCCACTTAAAAATCTGTTTTTCCTGTCTATTCCAAACTGGGAATATTTGTAGCTTGGAATGAGGGAGGTATTTCTGTGGAAGAGCAACACCATCAGAATTGAATTGTGGTAAACTTTTACTTGAAGGTGCCTCAGTTTGACCTTATTAAACAGGCGTGTTTGCCTGGTGAGTATACGAGAATAAGAAGAACGCTGAAGGCTGTGGAGACTAGTTTCTAGAGAGAAGGAAACGACTATATGTTCAAATATTCCAGAATTTAATTTAATGAAAGTCAGCTGGTTGTTTAATGTTTTTTATAATTTTGATATATTATTATATCATTTGATGTATCAGTTATAATTTTGATATGTCATGTTTTCTCAGTTATTGGTTCTAAAAGTAGATCTTAGCACATCATAGTTATTTATGCTTAACAGAGTTAGCTCACTATGAGAAACTTCATGACATGCTTGGGAAAGTGAAACAAGTATTTTTATAGAATCTCATCACAATATAAGAAGGTGGTCTTATGACATTCCTTCTTAAGATGTAGATTGGCTTGCTCAGACTGTGTACTCCTAGGGGCTAAAGGGTAAACAGTGCCTTGTTTTTTTTTAACAAGCTGCCCAGTAATTCGAATGCACTGTTTGGGAATCACTACTTAGTGTGACAGAGGTTAGCCCAGAGCGCTGTGGATACAGAGAATGGAGCCTTTGACTGCATTGCAGCTTAGGGAAAGTTAAATTTGAGCTGGTTCTTGAAGAACCATCCAGTTTATCTGGCAGACGAAGAAGTGATCTAGAATAGGAGAGTGTACCAAAACTTCTGATGGATTTCTCTTGACTGTATAAGCAATCTAGACACCTTAACTTATGCTTAGAAGCTTTTCATAGCTTTTTTTTTAAAATCCTCACCCGAGAATATGTTTATTGATTTTAGAAAGAGAGGAAGGGAGAGAGAGAGGGGGGACATCTATTGGTTGCCTCTCATATGTGCCCCAACTGGGGATCGAACCTGAAACCTAGGTCTGTGCCCTGACCAGAAATAGAGCCCGCAACCTTTTAACATACTGTACGACACTCCAGCCACAACATGCCACCTGGCCAGGGCTGTTTCTTCTTTATACTACATTAACTTTGCTAGCCTATGGTATAATTTTCCCAAATACTGTTTCCCCATTGTTTGATCTCCCACATTCATACCTGTTACTTAAGCTCTAATCATCTTTCCAGATCTTAGGACAAACCTACTTATTCCAGGAATTTATCCTAAAATCATCCTTCCAGGAATTAACAACTTTATCCTGTTGTTCATATATCACTTATTGTCAATGTCACACATTTGCCATGTTAAATTTATATATACACACACACACACATACACACACACACATATATATAAACTAATTTCCCCCAGAGAAGTGCTAAACTACTTGAAGAAAGGGAATGCCTCCTTCCCCTAATATCTCCCAATACATTTAACATCATTTATAATACATTTATTGGTTGAGTCCCCTTAAAAATTTTTTCTTTCTCCTGGTAAAATGATGTGGGATATATGTGTGCTCAGTTATGGCCCTTATCATATCAGAAGACCTTTGAATGATAAGAGGTGATGTCCTGTCCTACAGGTCTCTTGAATACAGTGTATGTTTTTCTGGGAGCTATTTGTCCACATTCTCACTTAGTGCATGGGCAATGTGACCATATCACTATAGTTCCAAGACCAGAAATAAATATTCATGGAGTATGTGTTCAATGAAAACCATCTCAAAGTAATTTTTAAAAATTGTAACTGAAATTATAAATAAGTAAAATCCATTAAATGACTAATCACATTTATTAAATCTGGTTGGTAGGCACATGGATGTGTTTTCTGTCTACTCTGTTATAGATTTAAATTTAAAAAAAAAAAAAGAGAAAAACTAACCTTCATATAGAGTTTTTCTATTTCTTGGGAGATTCCTTGAAATTGCAGAGAAAGTTTTTCACGTGGTTGCATCTTGAGAATGAGGTTGTATTCTGTAGACTGAGAAAATATACATAAGAATATAGATAACACCAACCTACCATTTTCCAGCTGGAATGGTAAAATTCTGTTAGGTTAGGGGTTATGTGTATCTCAAAATTAGAGTAGAAGGAATGAGTTGATAGTGCTCAATGGGTAACTTGTTCAGCACCAGTGGTATGGAGGACAGGAAGTTGGAATGGTGATACTAACCTATGCATGGACACAGTGGATTCTCTGTTATTTACATACAATTACAGGTTTTATGAACCAATCTACCTGTTCCTGTTGCCCTCTTTTTTAATCTTGGCAGATCAGGTTTATCAAATCCATTAAAAGTTTGGCCATCTGTAAAACTAACATACAGAGGTTACTTGTTTCTTTTCTATATATCTGGAAAAGCCTTCATCATAGGAGTTGTGCCATAGAGCCCCCAACACAAGCCTGATTTATCTTTGGGAAAAGTCTAACTTTGCGTAAGGCCTGAGGCCCTCTTCAGGTTATGTGAAAGGACAACCCTACCTATGGCCTAGTGTTTGGCCTGACTTATCTTCCTGCCGTCTATTGGCAGCAAGGAAGCTGATGGTTATTTTGAAGGAGGAGCTGGCAAGGGGAATAGTAGGAACTTTTTATTACTCTCTTTTGTAGGATCTTCTTTTAATGTCCCTTAGCTGTCACACAGAGGCCCCAGGACAACGTCTTAAAAAGAATATGGATGACATCATTGTGTAGAGTAGGACATGGACTAATCAGGCTCCAGAAACATTCACTGGTGAAATTTAGTAACTAGTGTTTACTGAAGATTTTGTCCTGCAGATTGTGCTATGAGCTTTATACAACAGTCTTATGAATTAGGTATTCTAATTCTCACTTTACAGATGAGGAAAGTGAGGCTCAGAGAAGGGAATCAGTATTTCTATTTATCCATTTTGTATATCTTTCCCCAAAATGCTATTCTTTTAATGAGGTTTGTGTTTGTCAATTCAACTTCCATTCTCTCTCCCAGAAAGTGCTTAATCACCTAGTACAGCTTTACTGGGGAAATAGGAAAGTAGTACATTTTTGATGCATTCAGTTTAGCTATGTGATCTTGAAAATTTTGCCACCTCTCCATTTCACTTAACACACAACGTATAAACCATTATATAAACAGATAGTATCATTGTATTATTGACTTTTTTTAAGCCAGAGTCACCGTCAACACTATTTAGACAATATTGATGAAGTAATGTCCTTTAATTTAGTGAAGTAAAAAGAAAACTGATTGTTAATGTTTTGTTAGAGTGAATTTAACAAATGATGGCCCCGCCCGGCCGGGCATGGCTCATCGGTTGAGCACAGACCTGGGATCCAGGCGATCGGGGTTCAATTCCTGGTCGGGGCACATGCCCGGGTTGTGGGCTCGATCAGTGACTCTCATCATTGATGTTTCTGTCTCTCTCTCTCCCTCTCCTTTCCTCTCCCTGAAATCAATAAAGATATATTTTTAAAAAAATAAAAAATGATGGCCCCAATAATGTTCATAAATCTAATATGCCTAATGTTAAATAAGTTAGCATACAGCCAGGATTTTTTTAAAACTCAGCAGCCAAAATTCTCAATATTAGGGCAATTATATTTTTTTGGAAAGAATTATATTATATTGTAATGACTGGTGATACATTTGTGAGCTTAATATGTTTCCTCTGTTCCCACCTAATGTGACACTGAACACTAAAGGTATGAGGCAGGCCCAGGAAAGTTGCCTGGGCATTATGGGGATTGGGGTTAGGTAAGGAGAATTTTCTGTACCTAAAAGGTGATATTTTAGATGACAATTTAAAGATTTTTTGTATTTTATGGTTTTGTATGACTTGTGCACTTATCCCATTACGCTTTATTTCCTGCTATGGGCAGTAAAACTGAACAAGAATATTTAGGGAAAATTCCATTTATGTTTAGGAAAGCAGCTACAAGGAAACTCAAGTAACTGATAACCCCTCTCCCCTTCCCTGCCCCAACACATAAGCGCATTCAAAAATAATTTGGTATTTAAGATTAACCTGTCAGATTGTTTTTGTAAAAAAAAGTTATTTATTTGTGTGAATCCAGATCAACTGCCTCCATCTTTGACGTAGTATTGAATTCTGAAAATTGATATTTCTTGTCAATTAAGAATCTGTGTGATGTGGCATCAAGAATGTCAGTTTGGGAACCAGGCACCACCACTTACTAGCTTTGTGAATTCAGACAAGATTTTAAATTTCACTGAGCTTTGATTTCCTCCACCTTATAAAAATAAGATAATTAGCTCCCAAGGTTATGAGCTTTACATGTTTTTGTAAAGTGTTAGCAAGAGCCTAGTACAAGGGAAGTAGTCAATAAACATGGGAGTTACTGTAGTAATGATGAGTTAAATTAAATGTGTAAGAAGCATTTTGTGCTCCATCATGTACTTTATATTACGTAATTGTTTTGGGTATGTGAGGCAATGAAGGCAAATTTTATAACTTGGATAGTAGTTAGACAAAATCACTTGGCTTTTTTTCCTAATGTTCTTTTTTATATATT